GCAGCAGTTTACGGCCCACCCTACATCACCCCATGGTAACTCTTGTAGCGAATTTTCAAAATAAGGCCATATAAGGAAAATGGTCAAATGGAAATGGTTCGAACTGATCCGAAATATTTGCAGTAGCTTCCGTCCGTGGGCCAAAGCACGTTGGCGTAATATTTCAAAAACGATGCATGGCCATAGTACATAGTAAGTGATCGACATAGTAGAAGGTAGGTCCACCCAAAGTCGTTCTAAGTATTGCACCTATCCCCGCAAACTTAATACACTTTTGTGCGACAGGTGTTGTAGGGTGTATTCACAGAATACATTTTTGTGTGACAGGTGTTGTAGGGTGTATTCACAGACGATATAAAAAGTCGAAATTTCAGTAAAATATAATACCGAATGTTTTGTAGTGATATATTTTCTTGATAATATCAATACATTTGCCCAAGGGACTCTTAACAATAAATCAACGGGTTAATACATCGATATAACATTTCACACAAGTCGCAGAAGCATTTTGAGTCTAGTGTCACGTAAACGTCGCTAATTTTCTTACGTCTTTCCTTTCGCCAATGCTACACCGGCTAAAATTTCTCTGTGATAATGGTAGTCCAAGCCTGCTGAAGTATGGTTTTATGCTGAATAGTTCGAGTTTTGTAAGACAATCAAAAAACGTATGCAAATATTCTAAGTTCATTGGCTAATCGTATGTGCATTAAATCGTCGATTAATCATAGTGATACTCTTAATAAACTCAAATTGTTTTCAATTGGTTACAATGTATGGGCTTTATTTTAATAAGGTCTACCTGCATATGCAATTGATGGAAATGCACGATATTGATGAGTAGGTTTTTGCAACTTTGTATGTGCATATGTACTTATATTATGATTGTCTTTTTCTCATTTCTTAGAAAACACAAATTTATTTTAACTTTATTTCATGTTCGATATCTCTTTACTCTTTGTTCTTCGAATGAAAATTTCATTTAGCTGATGTAGAAACGAGAAAATGCATGCACGACAATGCGATCCAAAGCTTTTAACAAAATTCAATTTCTACTAATTTTTACTAACGTATGGCTCCGTCCCAAATACGAGTTATTGGTCTGCCCTTTTTTGTCTATAACATAATTGCCCCCAATCGTTTTATTTTCGAGAATTCCACTTCATGTGAATAAAGTAGGGTTACCCGCTCTATACTTAACAGAGATAAAAAGAAAAAGTTGACAACTGATGGCTAATAGAAACTCCATAGAAAGTTGCCGCTATTGTTGCAATAATTTTCGACAATGACAATAATAGATGAAATTTAATATGATCTTTTTATTTAATGTATGGTCGAAAAAATTCAGATTTATTTATTTGAGAGATAGCACTTTGGGCTATTAACCAAATTGCAAATATATATATTTTGAAAGTGGTGTAAGTCCATGTTGTGCACTTGAAATTCGTTTGACAAATGCCGAAGTGAAGAGATTTGCCTTTTAAGAGTTCGGCAAAATATTCCTATATATCAATTGCGTATCATAAGCGGTTATTTAAATGTTAAATCATCGCTTCCGCGTTTTCCATAATGCTCGGCCGTGAATGAATGAACATGAATGTTTGGGGTAGAATTGTAGCATTCGAAAAATCGAAAGTAGTAGTATCTTGTTTTTTGACACATTTGCCGAGTGTGACATTTCAAATGGACATTAGACCAGTGTTACGTGGCCAAAATATTGGATGAATCAATCTAGTAGCAATGAAATAAATAAAACTAATCACATATTTTTACAGTCAGAAGAGAACTTTTATTGTTATCAAACGATCACAGTTTTGGACTCGCTTTGAGCTCGCTTATTATAGAGAGTAGATTTTTTAGCTTTAGTAGAGTTTAACGAGACGGATAGTGGGATTAAGTTATAGGTATGGTAACTATTTTTGCAAGGGAATCTGAACCAATTGAAAAGCTCATAGTTGTATTTCTAATTGACTGAGCTTCCCGTAATAGTGCCGGTGAGTTAGCGATACCATTTATTAGCTTAACTAAGAAGGAAACACCATGACTAAAAATCTCTAATGAGGGTAAAGCCAGCAAAAGCAGTTTACTTTATAAAGGGGCAACCATAGAAGCCGGTTCCAGCCAAAACTTTTTAGGGCAAAAAGCAAGAATTATGTTTGAGGGCCAAGTGCAGACCTGGCTGTATTTGTAAATAGCTCAATATACATCTTAAACTGAAACCTTTTCTCAAACAATACCCCTAATCAATAAGTGAATCCACATTTTTCCAGTTTTGGTAAATTGATGAAATGCTCAGCCAAAAATTAATTCGACCTACAGAAGGAAAGCTGTTTTTTACTTTCTTGCATTTTTTTTATTTAATTTTATAAAATTTTCGGAGTACCAAGGCATCATGTAGCAAAAACATATGAATGCGACAGAGGAAAATGAGATCGCAATTCCATGCTAAATTAGGGAAACAATTTCAAATCACCAGCGTACGTATTACCGAGAGCTGTGTATATGACGTCAGTTTAAGAGCTTCTACAAAAAATCTTAAAAATGCGACAAGTAAGCTTTAATAAGTTCGTAGTGGTTGATTTTTCTTTTAAGAATCCATCCTGATAGATGTGCAGGAATAGAAGAGTTGAGTCCTTTAAAAAATTTAGGTAAAACACTCAACTTGTGACAATGCGTCTATAGTTCTCCACTGAATGTCTGTTTCCTGTGAGCAGGAATCACAAAGTTATTCTTCCATTCATGTCTTCAGAAGAAGATTAAACATATTTGCGATAACGCCACACAGTTCATCAGAACTTAATCTCAATACGCGATGATGATGGGGTGCCGAATGAATACAGAGTCTATGGCAGTTGATACATTCGAAAAGCGTCGTTTGAAATATCCAGCAAAGAGATTCCCGGTATAAATATTTATTATAAAATTGAAGGGTAGTTTGTTTTTATTATTAAAAAAAGGATACTACGACTAGGTAATCACCCGTTAATTAACGATTACGGTAATTCACTAATTTTGGCAGTGAGGCAAGTGCATTTAGGTATAATAGTTTAGCTTTTTTTTTTAACTAATACTATCGGCTGATAAATTCGCATCACACAAACACACCATATACAAAAATACTTAGTTTAGCAGTCGTAAGTGTATTTAAAAGTTTTGAAATGCAAACTTTTAAATATTTTTCAAACAGTGAAAACAAGTGGGCTCGCCCCACTTTCGAATTGAATGGTGTGACGTTTTCGTAACCATAAGCAAGAATTTTATTTTTTAAAAATATACTACGTGCGCTTGATGTGCGGAATAAGAGCATTAAGAGCATAAATTCATTTCTCCAAATAAACTTTGAATTCGGATTTACGATTTCAAGACAAAAAAAAAAAGCATACCAGGCTAAATCTAAACCCATCATGAGCACACAAATAGCTGTTCAGCTTGTATTAAGGATTTGATAAAGTTTCTTGTGGTGTAGCAGACATAAGAGAAGGGGCTTCCATTGTTCCCTCTTACCTATAGGTAGTCGCTTTTAACCTGCATATAATACTTTCTTATCTACTATGCTTGCACAATTAGAGGATGCACCTAAGCGGTTGATCAAATACGTAAAAAAAGGCATGCATCTATAAGTATCTGCGTCCCTCATCAAAGATTATTTGCCTTTCCGCTGCATGTCACGCTCCGGAAATATTGTAAGTCAGAATCAAAAGTCAAACGCTTGAATAGTTGAATAGTTGAATTTACATGAAAAATATGTAAAGACAATTTTTTTCTATTTATAATTCATTAAGTATAATACATTCAGTAAAATTCGTTTTCTGCAGTGAAAGCAAAATGTTAGGTGCTTGCATGTATTTCGATCATTTCTTCTCTGGAAAAAAGCATTTATTGAGAAAAGTTAATGCAATCTTTGTTAGTCAAGATATTTTCCATCATTTGCAACAAGTTTTTCCCCCGTTTTTGGCAACATGGCCACATACCGTCTCGAACGAACAATAGTGGCTTGACAGCAATACAATTATCGACCCATTTTTGCAGCTCCTCAGCATTTCGAAACTGCGTGCCTGCCAAGCCATGGTGAGTCGATCTAAACAAGTGGAAATCAGAAGGAGGTATGTCTGGTGAGTACACCAGGTACTGAGTACAGAACTTCTCATTCGAGCTGCCACAACATGTCTGCGATAACTGTCAATTTTTTCAATTGACGCCGCTAGACATCTGCAGTAACAGCTGCGTATGATTTTTAGCAGTTCGAATTACACTACAACTTACTTATCCCAACGTAAGCACAGCTCAACTCTACAGCCGTAACTATTCCGCTTCGGTGTCGATGTCAATGGCTCGCTTGGGCCAACCCCACAATTTTTGTAATTGGAATTGCCGTATCATTGCCAGTCACAACTTGCCACAGAAACCTCTTCTTTTTATGCCTGGCAAGCAATGACATGGAGATGTTGAAACCGGTCGGTAAATTCGAATGATAATCATTTTTCCCCGTTTTGTAGCTTTCCCATCGCGTGTAAACGATTCATCAACTACTAGGCAGTTCGAAACTTCTCTGAGAGTCTGCGCTTGGTTTCCGTCCAATGAGTCTTGCAATTTTTTATCTGCAAACTTTTTTGGTCTTCGAGGCTATTGTTTGCCATCAATAGCATCGCCATAAACTCCTAAAGAAAGTGTTTGTTGAAAATGCAATTTTGTCCGCTGCATGATTACTGTCTGTATACATAAAAAAAATCAATAGTACTAAATGGAAAATGGCTACTTTATGGAGAGGAAAGTCAAATTCGTCGAGATTAACCGTTGCGTGCATTAATGCTTCGCATCACTTAATCATTTTTACCAATGGATGACGCTGATCGAAATACATGCAAGCACCTGTTAGATAAAACTTAGGCTTAGCTGTTAGATAAGGATATAAGAAAGCCCATTTTTATCAACTCTCTCGCTCGTTCAACCACTCCCGCCATCACTTAATATAAAATCGTAGACGACCTACGTGCACATACCTAGTGTTATTCAAAACCTGCATCGATAAATTACAAAATATAAAACCCAAAGTTAAGAAAATTGCAATAAGTGCATCATTAAATAGCATTTGTTATTATAAAACAGTACAAAAAATATAATGCATTAATTACAAAATCGAGGTGGAGCATTTCATTTTTCGGGATTTATTAATCAAACGCCTGACTTCACTCATCTACGCGTTCCCGGAAAGAGTAACGAAATAAACACTTACAGCAACATTTTTTATCTTCAACTTAAGCCTGAAAATAGATTTTGTTTTGAGCTAAAGAATATTTTGAGTTCCGTGGGATAAATGCCTTCAGTTGTACGCTGCCTTTGTAAACATCTAATTTATTTGCAGGTGTAATCGAAATTTCCAAAATTATCCAGGAATATGGGGTACAGCGTCACTGAACTAGCCGCGTTAGTGTACAGAAGCAAAGGTAAAAACACAAAAGAAAAGAAAAGAAACAAAAGTATTATATGCGCTTCGGGACAAATCTTTGCTGTTCATTACTTAATATGGAAATATAAAAATTACATAATTAGTTGAAAACGACTCAAGAGTTTCATGGCATTAGGTTGAAGTTTTGAATGGGATATGATTTGTGTTACCGATTACGGCAAGTTATGATTATGTTTACGACTGAATCGGCGAACAGGCCGCCCGTAAAGTCTTGACACTTGCATGGGTCTGTCAATGACGCTTTCGTATAAACTCAATGGCAAATCGTCAATATTTATATACATATCGCTCTTTCCACAGCGGCTGAGAGTGCAAAAGAAAATCATCACAGTTCTCGATGTCATCAAAACTGACGCATTGACACGCACTGCTCAGCGCCTTGTTTCCTTTCGGTTTCATTTTTTCGTGTGGCGCTTTTATCTCTTCTTATGTCAAATGCGCCGACGACACGTCGCATACGTGAATGGTTCCGAAAGAAACCGTGTAATCCCGCAATTGGAAATATTACGAGAAATCTCGCATACACTCGCAATGCTCTTTTTTTTTGCACTATTCTTATTTGACGATGTAGTATTCTTCTAACTTTGTCCAAATCGTCGATACTCCATTGACGATGTTCCTGTTTTTTCAAATTTTGAAAACATTCCCATTATCTTGCTTAAAAATTATTAAATCTTTATAGATAGCAGAGCCCATGAATGGTTTTTAATGTCGTCACCGATGAAACCGACGGCATTAGTACTCGCTTATATATTGATTGTTGTACGTATCGGGCCCGGCTTAATGAAAGATCGTGCACCTTACAACCTTAAATATATCCTGACAATCTATAACATTTTTCAGATGATTTTCAACTCCTACCTGTTTATAATGGTAAGTACGGACACCTCTCTTCTCAAAAAGAATCTATTATGTATTCCACTAACATTGCGATTTAATACATCCAGGTTTGGAATGAAATGCAAGCGATCAGAAGTTTAATGATTAGTAACTGCCAGATAGACCGTACCGATGAAAAGCTGCTCGAATGTTTAAGCTTCGGTTGGTTGTATTTAATCAATAAAGTTGTTGATCTCTTCGATACAATATTTATGATATTGCGTAAAAAAAACGATCAAATCACTTTTCTGCATGTATATCATCACTCCATTATGATATACTTGACCTGGTTTGGAATTAAATATATGGGAGGTAATTTTCATGTATATATACATTTGAACTACAATATGAAGGATATTATGATTGATTTTACAGTAAGGGAAGAATTTGGAATTATTATAACAATCAACACCGCGATCCACGTAATTATGTATTTCTACTATTTAGTTGCCGCCATGGGACCACAATATCAGAAGTACTTACGGTGGAAAATATATATAACCAAAATTCAGATAGGACAATTTTTGATGGCCCCGCTCTACATTTTTGCATCTGTCGTGAAGGGTTGTCAAATATCTAAGCCGTATACATTTTGGGTAACCATACACGCCTGCATCTTTATTTACCTGTTCGTCGACTTCTACCGTAAAGCTTATAAAAAATCTTCGGGAAT